CTTCAAACAGGTAGTGTATGTCACTGGTGAAGAAGCCGATGGCCTGTAAGACAGCAAGCCCATGGCACAGGTGTCACCTCTCTAGTACCAGGACATGATGGCAGGTGGTCAGAGTGGTAAAGGACCTCTTCTGACTGGACGTGTGACCCTTGACAAGCTACTTTACCACTCTGATCCTCAGCTTCCCATCTGCAAAGCCAAAGTAATTATTCCTGCTTCTTACATTTTTGTGGGAATTTTAATGAAATACAAAGTGTCTGTACACAAATTGTACTCAACTAAAGATATCTTTTACTATTATTATTACTAAAATGTCTAGATTTCAGATATTTGCTTTTATTCTACTCGTCTATTATATTCATTGTTTTACTACTAATAGTATTAACTGAGTCATCATCTCTTGATCCTTCATCTTTGCTATAGATTCTTCTGCCCACTGTCCTCCCTCCACATGTAAATGTCATATTTAATTTAATGTCATATGTCATATAAATTTAATGTCATATAAAAACTGACATTCCAAATCCAGAAAACGATTCATTCATGTCCTACAGAGTTACCAATTTGAATGGCTTAAGAAATGATTTCCTTTTAATATCATCTGATCTCCTTTGAGTTCACAGGACTAGGTCCCAACCCGAGCCTTTAAAAAAAAAAATTAAAGCACATTAGATGGCATACATTGGTTATTTGGAGGCAATTTACCCCCAGATAAAAATTATACAGATCATGTGATCTGACAGTTTCATTTCTCTGCTGAGAAAACATGTACATGTGTTGGAGAAGCATGCACGGGATGTTCACGAAGCACTGCTAATCCCAGCCAAACCCTGGACACATCCTACATGTCCTTGGTGAGGAGAGGTTAAAAAGTCCACCCCAGAAGCACTAGGAACATTGGGTCCTGGAACCTAAACAACCAGATCTCATATCCCAGACTTGTCATTCACTAGCTGTGGAACCATAGGCAAGTGCTTACACTCCTTGTGCCTCTGGACCTCATCAGCAAAATAAGATAATAATAATAGTAATAATAATAATAATAATAATAATACAACCTACTTCATAATTTCCTTTGAGAGCTGAGTGAGATAATGCCCATAAAGCAATTTATTTTGGGACACTGAAAGTACTATAATTATCATTAGGCGTCACTGAAAAGGAACGAGGAAAATCTATGTGTGCTAACATGAAAAGCTATAACCTAATGAGGTTTTCTATCAGTTAAAAACAAGTTGCAGAAAAATACATAAAATGTAGTAGAATTTATGTAAACACACATATAATACAACATATTTTCTATGAGTAACTTGCATGTGTGTAGA